GCATATTATGCACACCATGGGATTCGAACCCGTGACCTGCTTTGATACCAATTGTTAGGATCAAGCGCTTACCCACTACACCAAAAGCAATTTCCTTGGTGAAGGCGCAACCTTATTTCCCTTATAGCGTAGCAGCCAGCGCCACGTTTCGATTTAGGAAGATGCTGGAACCGTGACCAACAGCCAAGGAAGAAGCTTAGTTCTCCCATCATACTCATGTCAAATTTATGTTTCATCAACTCTGAGAATTTTTCGCAATGTTTTGCATTTGTAGAACCAAATATGATGTCGTCCACATATATTTGAACAAGTAAGATGTCACCTTTATGCTTTTTGAGAAAGAGGGTTGTATCAATTGTACCTTTTTCGAAACCGTTGTTGATGAGAAAGGTAGATAGAGTTTCATACCAGGCCCTGGGTGCTTGCTTTAGCCTATAGAGGGCTTTATCCAGAAAGTAGACATAGTCTGGATGTTGTGGATCTTCGAACCCAGGTGGCTGCTGCACGTAGACTTCTTCTTGAAGTTTGCGGTTGAGGAAGGCAGACTTGACATCCATCTGATAGACCTTAAAGCCTTTGTGAGCGACGTAGGCTAGGAACATTTTGATGGCTTCAAGTCTTGCAACGGGAGCGAATGTTTCATCATAATCAATCCCTTCTTCCTGGCGGTAGCCTTTGGCAACAAGCCTGAATTTGTTCCTTATTACAATGCCATCTTTGTTCTTCTTGTTTCGGAAAACCCATTTGGTTCCTATGGTCGTCTTCCCTTTGGATAGAGGCATAAGGGACCATACTTTGTTTCGTTCAAACTGGAGTAATTCTTCTTGCATTGCATCTATCCAGTTTAGGTCTTGTAGGGCTTCTGAAATCTTCTTTGGTTCTATCATGCTCAGAAAGTTGGCGAAGAGGCATTCATTTRMWRTRGCRGATCTCRTCTTRACAMCAGAGGTTGGATCACCAATGATTTGGTGGTGTGGGTGATCTTTTGTCCACTTGATGCTTGATTGAGGTTCTGGAGCAATAGGATGCAGCTCATCATCGACTGAT